GCAGTAGGGGGTGTGCAGGAGGCAGCTGATCGATGCTTTCTCTCATCAATGCTTCTAACTCTCTATCCCTCCCCTTCCTCTCTGTAAAAAATCCATAAAATATATTTAATAAAAAAAAAAGCATTCTTCATTTTGGTTACAGTGTGTTTGATCTCTAGCATTTCTCTTTGGTTCTTTTTGGAATTTCCATCTCTGTGTTAACCTTGCCCACCTCTTCTTTTATGCTTTTTACTTTGTCCATTTGAGCCCTTAGCATATTAATCATAGATGTTTTAAATTCCTAGCCCGATCATTGCAACATCCTTGTTACGTCTAGTTCTTATGCTTGCTCTGTCTTTTCCAGTTATGTTTTGGGTCTTTTAGTATGCCTTGTAATTTTTTCTTGTTAGCTGAGCATGATATACTGGATAAAAAACTGCTATAAAGAGGTTTTTAGTGGTGGTGAGGTGTGGGGGAGGGGAAGTGCTCTATAGCCCTATAATCAGGCCCCAGTCTTAGTGAGCCTGTGCCTTTGGACTTCTGTTTTCTCCATCCCCCTTAGGCACAGAATGGCTTGTGTGGGTCAGAGCTGGGTATTTCCCTTCCCCAGGTCAGTTAGGCCCTGGTCATCTCCCAGCAGGTAGGTTGTGGTCGACTAGGCTCTCCTCAGGGCAGACCTTGTTAGGAGAGCAGAGTGCTCTGGGTTTTTCAAGATTTTCTCTCTCCCCTGGTGGAAGCAGAGGGGACTTTTCTTCGATACTTATTGTGGGAACCTGCTTGGTCTCCTGGAGGTAAAACTCACAAAAATGTGAGCGACCCCTGTGACGGGTCCCCTGGAGTTTCTAACTCTCAGACTTGTCCACGTGTAGCCTCCAGCACATGGTCAATCCTAGTGGAGGTTTTCCTACCGGGGTGATGTTCCTGTGGTGGTTTCAGCTGCTGAGTCCCTGCTCCTGGAAAGGGGATTCTGTATGTACCTCTCTGTCTCCAGTTTTGGGGGCAGCAGTTTGACCTGTGTCCACACCTCTTTTACGGATTTAAGAATTGTTGATTTTTCAGTTTGTTAGGATGCAGTAATGACTTCTAAGCTCCTTACATGCAGAACCAGAAACTGTCCGATTTGCTATTGGTGGAGTGGAAATTGGTATCGCATTTATTAAAGCAGTCTTAATTATCTACTAAAACTGCAGCTGTGCATGCCTCTTGTCCTAGCATTTCCACCTGTGGACATACTAGCATGATGAACAAAAACGTAAGTATCAGAATATTTTTTGGCAGCAGTATTTTTAATATAGGAATGAAATATGATATATTTACACAATGGAATGCTATCCAGTAACTAAAAAGAAATGATGTAGCTCAGTATATCCTGACATGGAAAGAAGTCCAGACATATTGTAAAGTGAAAGGAGAAAAAAAAAGGAAGTTTCATAATGGTATATTTAAGATTCAATTTTTGTTTAAAACTTAGTCAAAGTAAAAATGAAGGCATGCTTAGAAAAGAAAGACAATTTTGAAAGAATACATATCAGAAAAACTGTTGGTTGTCTTTAGGAACAATGTTATAAGAAGGATGTTAATATATTAATGACAATTGTGTTTTCTATGGTGAATATGTATTTTAAAATTAGGTAAAAATTCAAGAAAGAAAATGGGTGGGGACCGATAGAGCTAATTGAGAACAACAGAACGGAACTAATTATTTCCATCACTTTTTCCTACATCAGGCAAAAGTGCAATAATAATCTCTGACTCTAAATTTTAATTTACTGTCTGAGAATAGGTAAAGATAGGCCCAAATAAATAGAAATTTTAAATCCCTTGTGTTTCTTTTGTTCTTCAGAAGCAGCCATAGATGACAAAGGTTCCAAATAAAAGTGTTTTACCAGTGAATGTTTTCATGTAGAGTTGTTGTTGTTAATCCTTTTAGTAAAAATTTTTATCAAGAAAAATTTCCCCCTCTGCTGAGAAGCAGTTTCTTTGGTTCTGTATGTCAAGATTAGTGGTTTGTTGTACCCAAGAGATGTTTATAATGGAATTTTGACAACGTGTATCCCTCCCTTTAAAAAGCTGCAGTGCCGCCCTAACCGGTTTGGCTCAGTGGATAGAGCGTCGGCCTGTGGACTGAAGGGTCCCAGGTTCGATTCCAGTCAAGGGCATGTACCTTGGTTGCAGGCACATCCCCAGTAGGAGGTATATAGGAGGCAGCTGATCGATGTTTCTCTCTCATCGATGTTTCTAACTCTCTATTCCTCTCCCTTCTTCTCTGTAAAAAATCAATAAAATATATTTTTTTTAAAAAAAGCTGCAGTGCCCTGGCCAGTGTGGCTCAGTTGGTTGGGTGTTGTCTTGCGCACCAAAGGGTTGCCAGTTGGGGCACATGCCCGGGTTACGGGTTCAACTTCCAGTAGGGGATGTGCAGGAGGCAGCCGGGATTGATGTTTCTCACATCAATGTTTTTCTCTCTCCCTCTCCCTTGCTCTCTCTCAAAATTAATAAAAAATATTTTTTAAAGATAAATTTAAAAAGCTAAGAAGTAGATTAGTGGAGCAGTAATAACTGTGAAAACTGTTTGACTTCTGTTACGAAGTATTGTTTATGTCTACAGTTTTCCTGCTGGAATGACATCTAAGCGATCTGCAGGATTACTGAGTGTAGACTTCTGAGTTACTCGTCTTGTCTGATTAAATTTCATTTCCTGCTTACATCCTATTCTGGGTTCCTGGACCCAATCCCAACATGTGTGTAGTGGGGGAGATTCCCACACAACAAGCAATTCTCAGACACCAGCGGAGTATCCAAGAATTCAGCTCAATTCTGATGCTCGCTACTCAGAGGCAGCCTCAGATCCCACAGGTTAAGGACTTAGTCCTGAAAGAGTGACCCCCGCCAAAACCCCCACTTTCAGGAACAAGTAACGTGTCCAGGTTTTTACATGGACCTTTGACCAGCTATAAATCAGAGGTTCCCAAGACCCCTCCTTGAGTTTAATAAATTTTCTAGAGCAGCTCTCACAACTTTGAAATATTTTACTTAAAAGATCACTGGTTTATTATAAAAGAACTAGAGGCCTGATGCACAAAACTCATGCAAGAGTAGGCCTTCCTTCCCCGGCTGTCGGCACCGGCTTCCCTCCAGCCGCCGGCAGGCACCCGGGACTCGGCTTCCCTCGCAGCTCTGGCTTCGTCTGGAAGGTCGTCCAGAAGGACATCTGGTCTAATTAGCATATTACGCTTTTATTATTATAGATATAACTCAGGAACGTCCAGATGGTAGAGATGCATAGAGTAAGGCCTGGGGAAAGGTATGGAGCTTCCATTTTCGCTCCAGACACACCATTCTCCCAGCACCTCCACCAACCTAGAAGCTCTCTGAACCCTGTCCCTAAGGGTTTTATGAAGGTTTCATTACATAGACATGACCATTAAATCAATGGCTATTCTCTTGCCCTTCTCTCATCCCCGGAGGTTGGGGTTTGACACTGAAGGTTCCAACCGTCTAGTCACATGGTTGACTCTCTTGGCAACCAGCCCTTACTTAGGTGCTTTCCAAAAGCCACCTCGTTAACATAAGAGACATCTTTAAGCCAGTGGTTCTCAACCTTGGGTGCACATTAGCATCACCTGGGAATCTTTTTAAAATCCTGATTTCTGGGCCTCATCCTCCGGAAATTCTGTTTCTTTGTTATGGGGTGGGGCCACAACATTAGTAACAAAGAAACAGAATTTCCAAAGGATGAGGCCCAGAAATCAGGATTTTAAAAAGATTCCCAGGTGATGCTAATGTGCAGCCAAGGTTGAGAACCACTGCTTTCAGTGCTCATCACCTAGGAAATTCCAAGGATTTTAGGAGCTGTAGGCCAGGAACCATCAATGAAAACCAAATATATATAATCAAATATATATACAGGATGCCTCAAAATATGTATATGCACTTCAAATGATTATAAAGTTAGTGCTTTTTCACTGAAAAGGAGTGAAAATTAAGTGAGTTATCTGCTGTTAAAGTGTGTGTATTTCTTTTAAATCACAATATCATACATCCTAACATAGTTTTTCCCTATTATGACATATATTATTCTAAATGGTTAATTTTGCGTATTGATTTGTTATTGTTTTACCCTCTGTGAATTTCCTAACAGAGGTTCCAGAGGGGACTTGGGGGCCAAAAAGAAAAAGAAGAAACAGAAGAGGAAAAAGGAGAAACCCAATTCCGGAGGCACCAAGTCAGACTCTGCATCTGATTCCCAGGAGATTAAGATTCAACAGCCTTCAAAAGTGAGAGCCCTGTTTTATTTTAATCTGTGTGGTTCCTCATGCATTTGAGAGCAGGTTTGTGCAGCTTAGCCCCCTGTTGGATCAGAGATGTAGTGAGGGTTTTGTTGTGCCTGCACTGTGACAGTAACCAGAGGGTACTTAAAGCCTTTTTAAATCTGATGTCTGCACCCAGATAACAGAGAGGTACATTTTGTGCTTTTGTGTGTACTAGGATACCGCCTGCATATTTCTCAGCAAATTAGTATATAGGTTATAATCATAGAACAGAGTCTCAGTGTGAGCTATTAGGCTGTGTTTTTTTTAAGTTACACTTAATATTTGATAACTATTAGTTCAGAAGATATTCACATTTTAATTTTTCTGGGTGTCTGTCTAATTATCTGAATAGCACAACATCATCTGGCAGCAGATTTCAGCGGGAGCAGCCACGGGTAAGTCTTACGTTGACTTTGAATCAGAACAGTCTTCAGTGGCCATTCTTAATTCCATTGCTACGGGTGGGAAATAGTGCCTAATGTTTTCCCTGAAGAAACACCCATTTAACCAAACTGGAAGTTATCTGCCTGGGCACTGTACTGGCAGATTGGTACAGCTGGTGGTGCAGATGGCAGGCACCCTTTCTGGAGAGCCAACCCCAATCACCCTAGCTGTGAACACAGGCCTTGTGTGCTGGGCCCTGCGAAGCACAGAGCCTTCCTTCTTGATGCAAGAAATTCGCAGCCAAAAGGGGTAGAATTAGAATTATAATGAAAGAGAGCTATTTTGATGCGTGTAGTGTGTGTCATGGGAGGGGCTTAGGATGTGCCATGGGGAACCCGGGCTCTGTCCTGACCCATGGCGCTCGAGCGTGGCCTTTGCACAGGGTTCCGCCCCTCCTTAAGCCCATTTCCTCATCTGCAAATGGGGATGATGCCTTCTCCCCAACTCACAGGGTTGTTATGAAGTTATAATTAGATGATTTTTACAAAATGGTTTTTATATTATACAGCACTTTGTCTACCTGGCAGTTATAAACCATTATGCAAGTTTTGTGGGGTTAAAATTTTTATTCTTGTACAAAGTTTGTTTGCATTGTATTGTGTGAAGTGAATCTTGCAGGTAGTTTTGTTGTTGTTGCCTGTTTTACACTTAAGGACCAGGAATCACTGAGAAGGAAAATTACTTGCCCCAATTTTCCCCTGATTGCCTTTGTGGGGTAAGAAGAAAATGGAGTCTTCTTCCCTAGCTTTTCACCTTGGTTCTCAGGTAATAAATTTTCTATCCACTGGACATAATTTCCAAGGTAACTCATGTAAGGTACACCATAAGCTTGCAAGATTTTTTTTCACATTTTCTACACGTTGCTTCGTCAAATAAACACGGTGTCACATATATGCAGTTGTGACCATTTCCTTATTGCTGCTATCATCACCATCAGCTTCTCATCTCTGAAACCTAGTTATTTTGAGCTCTCCCCCTGTTTCTGGTCACCTATAAGAAACTAGAGCCAGCCAAGGCTGGAGGAACTGTTAGCATTATATGGTAGAGAAATTCTTTTCTTTTTAAAATTAAGAATAAGTTAAAATTGTTTAAATGTGGGCTGTTCTCCATAGAATTTTTTCAAAGTTAGGCTCATTTCTTTTAAGCTGATGCCAGCTCTAGATAACACTGTAAATTGCTGTGGACCCTACTTAGAGAATATGCTGGTGTACAGTCAGGAACCAGAATGAAATATTTGTCTGGGTTCTTGTAGATTTTCAAAGTATTACATTTGGAAAATAATAGGTGGAGAGAACAGTTGTGCTTATATCACAGGAGCAGATAAGGAGGAAAAGAGGCCTGCCTGACTCCCTTAGGCATATTTAGTGGGAAGCTAATGTGGGTTGGTATACATTCTCACCTTTCCTAACACTAATTCATTCCTCCCCAGGTGGTGCTACTACTGAAGGTGGATGGCTAGGTTTAAGAAGTTATTCTAGCTGAGTTTTCCTTACTGCTTTGTCACCATGGATTTGAAAATTGTGCTTACTTTAATCTACTTTAAGAACGCATTTAAATTAATCGTATGCTACTGGGATATAAATTAATCCCAATGGAATTAATTCATAAATGGCGATTTCATGTAAACACTATTGGTCAACCCATTGAGGCTAATTAGGCGGAGGAGAAAGCACTCTGAGTGCCTCTTAATGGAGTTGGGATATCATTGGCTCCTTTGGCACAAAGATGCTGACTCGTGTTTCTTATAAAATAGTTGCCGTTTGCTACGTTAGTGTTAGGGGATTTAACGTGCATTAGGGAGGAAGAACTACCATGACAAGTTCAGGGAAGACACTGGAGGTCTGTTCTGAAAGAGTGGGTTCTACTCTGCCTTTTTAAAGATTAATGGTTGCATGTTCAAGCACTATTAGCTGATGTTCTGTGCTCTTAGTTCCTGTTTGGGGCATAGGTCTCCTAACAGGCTGTGTTGCTGTGGGTCCATTTGACTATAGATTTTCACTTTGCTAGAAACTAGTTACTCTATGTTGGAGATTCCAAAGAGATGCAAATGAGAAATTAAGACATGCACTAGCCTTTTTAGAACAGCAAAAGTATTTTGTTAGGTTAGTATCTGTAATTGAGTTATGCCCCTTATGATTTAGACTTTAGTCAAAATAAAAGATAAACGACTTACAAAACTCACGGCAGTCCTGGCTGATGCTGTTAGACTTATAAGGGAAGATGTTAAGACTCTAACCTACCTCTGGTTAGAGTCCAGCACTTTGTTTCCTTGAATCATGTTGGTGGCAAGAATTTTAAGGGAATCCAGTGAGCAAAGCAACACAGGACATTCTGTATTAAATTAACCCCGTTTTGTACTTGTTTAACGCCAAACAAGTAAGCGTCCAGGTTAGAAGATTTGCTCCAGACCACACACATGAGGGTCAAAGTTGAGCAGAAGTTCAGAGCTACTGTTTACACACCATTGAGGGTCAGTGGTCCCTTTCCTTGGTGTCCATGGTGTGTTGGCATACAGGCAGCCTAAGGGCTCTGAAACTCCTTATAACCCCTTCTGAACTGCAGTGAAGAGCTAGCATTCTTTGGATGGTATCAAAAGCATATGGCAAACCCAATATCCATATTCAGTCCTACATGCTATTCATTCTCTAATTTCGAGAATAGTTTCATTTTGCAGGCAGTGTGACATTAATTGAGGGACTTTACAAAAAAAGAGCTCGGGAATCTTCAGATGACAGAAATATTGGCTTTGAGGAAGGAACTTTAGAATTTAAAGGTATTGTCAACTTTATAGACTGAAAATATGTTTTTACCTTATAAAAAGGAGTTTAGTTTCGAACAGGCTAGGGTGGCCCCTGATTTGAATTCCCAGAGGACACTGCTGGTCCTTGTTGGAAGGTTTGTTTCCGGGGTGTCAGGGTGAGGAGAGGGAGGTGTGGTCCAGGAGGAAGGCATCCCTAGAGGTTTCCTTTCCTGATTCACTTTCTTTTCCCAGCTCGTACTAAACTCAGATTCCGTTCGTTCTTCTTCTTAATGAACTTGTCTGCATAGTTTCCATCCTGGAAGTTATTTCCTTTGTGCCCACATTGCTACTGCAGAGCATTAACCCCGACAATAAAAGCAAGGCTCGTGGCTGGCTGGCTGCCGAATGACAGTAATGCATGTGTTGCATGTCACCCCTTTTTGCTGCTCCGCTCAGATGCGTAATGGTCAAGGCCATTTGCAGATGGTTGGGAAACTAGAGTGAAGGGCAGTTCTATTTACTGTAGATTTCCCAGACTGTCAGAGCCCCAGTAAAACTATAGAGCCGTGGTTATCTTTAACATACTATTGCTTACATCTTAATGTGTTGGCATACCTGAGGCCAGGGCCCTGGCCAGCTCTAGAGGAAGACCGCTCGTTTCCGGTGTTGTAGCCTCCGAGGCAGACGCACGTGTCTCTGCCCGGTTTGGGGCGGCGGCAGCCTGCTCACAGTCTGTCTGTGTGTCTTTGCTGTTGCAGAGTCCTGCCATCCCAGTGCAGAAGTTGCAGGACATCCAGAGAGCAATGGAGCTGCTGTCGGCGTGCCAGGGCCCCGCCAGGAGCATCGGTGAGGCTGCCAAGCACAGATACCAGTTTTGGGACACACAGCCGGTACCCAAACTAAGTAAGCTTTTCTGCCTTCTCCTCCCGCCCTCCCCAGAACAAAGCTGGGTTCACAACAATCAAAAAACACAAAAGAGGCTTTATTTCACTTATATAACTTGTTTCATACCACAGGATAGAAATTTATACAAAAGTAATACTTTTCTTCTTAAAAGTTCATATCCATCACCACACATAGTTACAGAATTGTTTTTGTAATGAGAACTTTTAGGATTTATTCTCTTAGCAAACTTTCAAATATGTAATATATTATGAGTTATAGTCACCATGCTATACATTAAAGGACTTATTTATCTTATAACTGAAAGTTTGTACCTTTTGACTCCCTTTACCCACTTCTCCACCCTCTGTCTCCTGCCTCTGACAACCACCAATCTGTTTTCTGTATCCATGAGTTCGTTTTGGTTTTCCTATTTTTTTAGATTCCACATATAAGTGAGATCATGTGGTAATTTGTCTTTCTCTGTCTGACTTTTTTCACTTAGCATAACACCTTCAAGGTCCATCCATGTTGTCCAAATGGCATGATTTCCTTCTTTTTTTATGGCTGAATTATATTTAGCAGATATTTGTTGTGTGTTTGTTATTAAATGCCAGGCACCGGGGTACATACTGGGGAAATAGGGGCATGAAAGTAGGGTAAGTGGTGGCCAGGTAGGGGTTGGGAAGAGGATATACTCCAGGTAGGAGAAAGCTTTAGTCAGGGAAGGATGCTGTGAGAAAGCTATGTGTAAACTTATATCTGAAAAAATTTAAGTGGCCAGCTGAGTAAAGAGCATGGGGAGGGCCTTGCGAGGGCTCTGAGCTGGGGCCAGCATGAGGGCAGTTAGTGTGGCTAAGCCTGGGAGCTGGGCCGGGTGGGGGTTCCAGGGGGTCAGGCAGGCAGTGCCATGGTTGGAGTCTGGGTTTTATCCCAGCCACATTGGGAAACTGCAGGGAAGAAATGGGAAAAGGGCACCTTTGTGGAAATTGCTAAGACATCGACGACTTGAACTGTGCTGCCATCAATCCAGGTGGAGAGACAGTAACAGTTCTGAAATTAATTTTAGATTTTGCTGGAAGTGGTCAGAGGTCACTGCAGCCTTCTCCCCTCACTCCGTCCCCTGCTCCACCCCCCCCCTGCAGTTACTTGAAGTGCAGAATAAAAGTCTGTCATCAAACCTCTGTTGTCTCCCATGGTGCTTTCTGTACAATTAATCTGTAATCTCAGGGTCGAGACAGAAACCATCATCGTTTCATTGTACACTTTCTCATGTTATTCTCCACCACTACCTAGCCACCCTTTTTTCACTCTAGAAGTAGCTGAAGTAATAGTATGTTAATGATTATATTAACCCCAAGGGCCCTAAACATGGTTTTATTTTATGTAACGGACCATTTTGGATCATCAGAATGCTTTGTAACTGAATAGTCTCTCTTTTTGTCTTCTGTTCTCTCCTCTTCAGATGAAGTGATAACATCTCATGGTGCAATTGAAGCAGATAAAGACAATGTGCGCCAAGAACCGTACTCCTTGCCACAGGGCTTTATGTGGGACACGTTAGATTTGGGTAATGCAGAAGTGGTGAGTAAAACGCTCAAATTCAACACTTGCGTTCATGCGGATTGCTTCTGAGTGGGTTCTGAGCACCATAAACCCACACCTGTTTGGTCTTGCAGCTCAAGGAGTTGTACACCTTGTTAAATGAGAATTACGTAGAGGACGATGACAACATGTTCCGGTTTGACTATTCGCCCGAGTTCCTGCTGTGGTGAGTCTTGCTGGCCTCACGGGCTGTGGTGGGGCGGGGGGCTGGCGCGTCTCTGTCTGTCCCTGTATTCTTGGACACTAACTGGCCCCTGTTTTCCTTGCCTATGTTGACTTCAGGGCGCTGCGTCCCCCAGGCTGGCTTCTCCAGTGGCACTGTGGAGTCAGAGTGTCTTCGAACAAAAAACTGGTAGGGTTCATAAGTGCCATCCCAGCAAATATTCGGATTTACGACAGGTACATATGAAAGCTTGCCCGTGTCAGTTTTGATGTGTTGCTTTTTCAAGGATTGCAATTATAAGAGGCTTTTAAAAGTGACTTAATCCAGGCTATTGAGAGAGGGAAGGTTATGGGGGGGAGGGTATGTGGGAACTCTGCACATTCTGCTCATTTTTGAACTTAAAACTGCTCTAAAAAATAAAGTCTATTAATTTTTTAAGCATTGGTTTGTGAACAACAAAAAGGACAACTCTCTTTTTCTTCCTCTGCCTCTCAGTCTCATACATGCACACACAGAGATATGTTTGTGTACATATATGAACATACACGTGTTTGTGTATATGAATGTAGCGGAATAAATAAAGCTATAAATAGGTATTTTAGATTTATTTCTGGGGAAATTACTTTAGGAAGTTTTAGGAGAGGTTTTTTAAAAGTCTTTCTCTTTCATAGGATAAGTATGTGTTGTATTTTTGCTCTGGGTCTTCAAGTCTAGAAAGTCAAAGACCCAGCTCTTAAAAGTCAAAGATCTAGTGCATAATAGATCGTTTTACCTTTCAATACAATGGCTTGTTTGCTGCTAAAAAACATTTTCTCCCAAGGAATGCTGTGTGCTGAATGAAATGCTTGCATACCTGCATACCCGGGAATGGGCTTTGGAGCTCTAGAAGGTTTAGTGTAGCTCAGAATAGCACCAGGTCTGGTCTGGTCGAGGCACCTCTCAGGGGTCCTGGGGATTGCATTATATCCAGAGCAACATCTTATCAGATTCTGCATGTGGGTGATCAGTGATGCCATAATTGTATCATTACAGGAAAAACACATAGAGAAACTCTGAGGCACCTCAGGTCCGGTTTCTAAACCAAAAACTTTTAAAAAACTTCAAACAAAGTCCTAAAATTTATTTAGAATAAGAGATTTGCATCTCTATAGTCTAGAGTTATAAAGTAGGGGTATATGGGAAATAGTGAATCAGTCTGAATTTGTGAAATGTCTAGAACCATGGTCGGCAAACTTCGGCTCAGGAGCCACATATGGCTCTTTGGCCCCTTGAGTGTGGCTCTTCCTAAACCTTAGGAGTACCCTAATTAAGTTAATAACAGTGTACCTACCTATATAGTTTAAGTTTAAAAAATTTGGCTCTCAAAAGAAATTTCAATCATTGTACTGTTGATATTTGGCTCTGTTGACTAATGAGTTTGCCAACCACTGGTCTAGAGGAAAGAATATATTTCTTTAATATTAGATATAAGGTCTTTCCGTTTTTATTCTTTGAAATTTTATGGGTGTTGTCTTATTTTAAAAAACACGTTCATCTTATGTTTGCTCTGATTTTCTTTATTTCGTAGTGTGAAGAAGATGGTAGAAATCAACTTTCTTTGCGTTCATAAAAAATTGAGATCAAAACGGGTAGCCCCAGTGTTAATTCGAGAAATAACTAGAAGAGTGAACCTGGAAGGGATTTTCCAGGCCGTTTATACTGCTGGCGTGGTTCTTCCGAAGCCAGTGGCCACGTGCAGGTAATAGCAACACCCTTACCTTGCATCTTTCCTGTACCTAAACATTGAGCCTTCCTACCCTGTTGCTGGAAGTGTTATTCTCACTTGTGAATTGTGTAGCTCAGAGGGATTTTGGCTGACCTGTGATTATGTAGTTGGTTGACAGCAGAGATGGAGACTAGAAGCAAGAACCACTGAATGCAGTCTTCTTTCCAGTTACCATACAGCCACTTGTATGCCAGCGATCTGGAGCTGTATTTCAGTGTCTCTTCCATTTGAAAGACTGGAAGGTCTGGTCTGGTCGAGGCACCTCTCAGGGGTCCTAGGGATTGCATTATATCCAGAGCAACATCTTATCTGATTCTGCATGTGGGTAACCAAGTTATGCCCTAATGGTATACATTACAGGAAAAACACATAGAGAAACCCTGGGCATCATGATGTGGAAATATCCAGGGTGGTACCATTTCCTTTTCTCCTCTAACACTCAGTCTTATACATGCTCTGCAGTGCTGTTCCAAATGTCTGGTAAAAAAGCGTAGACATTCTTGTTTGCTAAAAATAAGAAAAGGCATAAGCTCTGATTTTATGACTCAGTCTGCTCTTACCAAGCTTCCAGAGGTTAATCCAGGGAGAAAATTGAGTGTCAGGTTGTCACTTGACTAACATGTTTCTGAAGAATCAGTTTCTCTCCCTCCACTATTTTCATTTATTCAAATAAAATGAAACTTCAGGTAAATATAGTATAAAAGAATTAAACCATAAAATTACTATGTCCTATGAAATTATTCATAAATAAACAGGATAAATAAGACTTTACAGGTGCATATTGGAGCTCTTGTGGTGTAATTGGGTAGCGCGTGGTACTTATAGGTACGTGTTAATACAAATCATTTAGCCCAGTACCTAAACTGGGATCACTTAAGAAATCTAAGCTCGTTTCTCAAAAAGTTGTTTTCTTGCCCTGATTGGTGTGGCTCAATTAGTTGGGTGTTGGCCTGTGCACTAAAGGTTGCCAGGTTGATTCCCAGTTGGAGCACATGCCCCGGTTGCGGGTTTGGTCCCCCATCAGGGTGTGTATGGGAGACAACTGGTCAATGTTTCTCTCTCTCTCTCCCCCTCTCTCTTCCTCTCTCTCTGAAACCAACTTTAAAAAAAAAAAAGTTGTTTTATTGGTTGGTTGTTAGATAAATATGAAGGCTGTACTAATTTAGGGGGAATATTTTCAAGTTTTTAAACTTTTGGGTTGCTTTCTATAGAATCAGGGATGGTTATGAAATACATGCAAACTGGTCATTATTAATAAGACTTTTACAATTTTAAGATACCTCTATACTGAAAGAGATGAAAGATCACAAACTACAGAGGGACATAACTAGGGATGCAGGGCACATTTTAGAGGTAAAAAATGACTGATAAAATAAAGAAAGAAATAATTGCATTGGAAGAGGGACCGCATCCAGCACTGTGTCAGGCATAACATAAGTATTCATTAAATGTTCTACCACAGCTGAGCTAGACAGAATAAAAACTTGGAGAGTCAGAAATCAGTCTGACTTTCAAACTTTATTGTATTCCAGATACTGGCATCGGTCACTAAACCCCAGAAAATTGGTAGAAGTGAAATTTTCTCACTTGAGTAGAAACATGACTTTACAGAGAACAATGAAGCTGTACAGACTTCCAGATGTAAGTAAAAACAATTTGCAGTTTTTTAAGACTGTAATGACTGAAACTTTCAATGTAGAAAAGAATTATTTGCAGGAGTCTAAAAAACTGGCTTATGTGTCTGAAGATATGAATAGGTAGCTAAAATGTCTGCTTAGAATTCAGGGTGATGAAAAATAAGGAAGTTCACTTGGAAATACCAATTTGTATTTTAAGTCTAAGTTGTTCAGTTTTTGGTTGGATGGGATTAACCTCAAGACGTAAGTTTTGAAATTTTGAGTACTTATGGTTTGTTAAGTAAAAGGGAAGAAAAGTTTCAGGCTTCTGATGAAATCTTAACGCAATGGAACTAAGGTATAAGGTTAAAAGGAGAGACCTGGGAGAGGAAATAATGTCTTATAAATAAATTATCATCTTTTTAAACTAGCAAATTCCCAACATGAAAAATTGTCTGTATTTTAATAGAGGAAAATGTATTCTTATTATTTAAACTTTTGGTTTTAATTTCATCCATCCCCTCTACACTCTCCCCTTTGGCAAACATCAGCTTATTTCTATAAGCTGTTTTGTTTAATTTATTCATTTGTTATTGGCTTTGTTTTTTAGATTCCACATATAAGTGAAATCGTTCAGTATTTGTCTTTCTCTGACTATTCCACTTATCATAATACTTTCTGGGTCCACCCATGTTGTTGCAAATGGCAACATTTCATTCTTTTTTATTGCTGAGTAATATTCTATTGTAAAAATTTAAGTGTTTACCATCTTGGCTTGGATGGTGTATTAGTTATCTATTGCTGTGTAACAAATGACTACAAATGTAGCAGCTTAAAACAAAACATTTACTGTCTCCCAGTTCTGTGGGTCAGGAATGAAGGCACAGCTAGCTGAGGCCTCTGCTTCAGGGTCTCTCATGAAGCTGCCACCAAGGCGTCAGCCAGGTCTCACCTGGAAACCTGCAGGGATGGATCCACGTCCAAGCTCACATGGCTGTTGTCAGGCTTGAGTTCCTCGCGGGCAGCTGGACGAGGGCTCAGTTCCTTGCTGACTGTGCACCCTGGCCGCCATCAGTTCTTTGCCACATGGGGTTCTCCCCATGGGGGCTTACAACATGGCAGCTTGTTCATCAGAACCAGTGAGGAGAGCGTCCATAGAGACTCTCCCAGCAGATGGACGTTAGAACCTTACTCCCAATTGGCGTAAGTGGCATCCAGTCTCCATCACCATGTTCCATTGGTTAGACACCAGCCACAGGTCCACCCGTACCTGAGAGGAGTGATCCCCAGGGTGTGGGTGTCAGGAGGCCATCTAGAATCTCTCTGCCACAGATGGGATCTTTTGTTTGAAGTTGGATTTCTTCAGGGTTATTCTATTTTGGGGGTATTTACAAAGCAGTTTAGTCGGTATTTTAACTTGGTTGAGGGAGTCATGTAGAATATAGCCATGTTCCTTTTGAACTGTGACCATTCTGGGTGCAGCACACTCCAGTTCTTTTTGCCTTTTGGCCAGTTATGTGTTTGCCAAATGCAGGTAATCAGTGGCTGCAGAATTGATGTCTTTTTTTTTGGTAATAGACGAGAATCACCTAATGTCTGACCTTACGCAGAACTTAATAAGGAGAGAAGTGGAGCTGAAGGAAAGCAGGTGTTGGAAGTGTCAGGGTCATCATTCTTGGGCTTCACGACCTGGCAGCGGCATCAGAAGCATGTTCTTCCCTCTGTCTTAGCTGCTGTTACAGAAGTGGGGCTCGGACTAATGAGCTCACTGCCTCTCTGTGAGACTTAGCAGGGAGGGGCAGTGTAGATCAGAGCAGATGGAAATAAAAAACTCAGTGACCTGAAGAAGGAGGGTGCACACAACCGGGGGAGGAAGGAGCAGGCCTCTCCAGCTATGGGGCAAAAAGGAAATGAAGAAATAGGAAGATGTTCAGAGAGGTCACACTGTTGCCATGAGAATCAATATTTACTGATTCTTTTGAAACTAGAAACAGTTTATGGTAATGGCCAAGACCCAGAGCAACTGAGCGGCACAGTCACAGGACACAGTCACAGGGGCACAGATGGCAGTGAGAAAAAAGGGCACCACACCCAGCTGAGATGAAACACGCCTCGGTAGGCACTGTTCATTCTCAACGTCCCCCTTGCCAGTTGTTAACTGCTTTGCTACCTGTCAGTTGAATTTAAAACTTGAAGCTCTCCTGCTTTTCTCACGAGAGGCTAATGCTCTTCCACTTTGGTCTCCCCAGATTTCAGCTTGTTGACTAAGGCACTCCAGTTTGTATCTAAGGAAAGTGCCCACTTACATGTAGGTTGTCCAAAATGGGATGAAGAATAAGGAGTTTTAGTACCTATCATGGGCTTATTCAGGATGATTAGAATTTGAGCTGCTAAAAATATTTTGACTTTTTGACTTGACTTTGTCCATTAGCCTTTATGTTTTTGAACAAGAATTAATCAACACAGATAACAGTTGATAAAAGTCACTGGTCAGGAATTGGTTTTTATTTCCCCAATAAACTAGTTATAAAGGGTTCTCACATATGTTATTCAGTATACTAGAGGCCTGGTGCATGAAATTTGTGCAGTGTGTGTGTGTGTGTGTGTGTGTGTGTGTGTGTGTGTGTTTCCTCAGCCCGGCCTGCCC